AGGGGGGGGGGGTAGCAGAAGAGCTTTATGAATCACCCAGATGTGAGACACATGAAGTCCTAATAATGGAAGGCTCACAAAGTAGAGCTTGCTGATGTTTTAAGAAGTTGAGGCTTTTCCAGCTTACACTTTTTCTTCTTCCTGATCTGCTTAAGGAAAATTGGGTTCATACAACCATTGAAGCAACCATCTTCTAGCTAAAATCTACTTGTTGAAAGATCATTGATGGGTTTGATCAGTTCAATTCAACAGGGTCTTTCAATCTCACTTCTGATTAACAAGCTTCGATGACAACGAGATACAACGTATACAGAGGTTTCATTTATAAGTGGAATTCATCCTCATTCATACATTTGCAGACATTTATTTCGGCGTATTTTCACAACGTTGAACTTGTCTTTGTCAGACATTAATTGCAATTAGAATATTGGTCTATTGTTCTTAATTAAACACTACTTAAGATGGTATTTGCAGTCTTCCACGTTTCGGTTATTCCCGTTTCACTTATAGTCGCCAAGCAATGTTTCCGATCGGACATTCAAGTATGACAGTAAGAAGCATTTTATTACAGAGAGACTTAGCATTGACTAAACAAATTTGTGATTTGTTTTCAAGATTTCTGCTCTGAATTGTGCTTTATGGACTCTGTCAAAATTTTGGTTTTAATTCTTGGCCCAATTAAGTGAGGCCAGACATAAGGAACTCTACACACATTTGGCACATTTACCATCCCATGTTTAATATGCCAGGTGTCTAGTTTATTGAATATCACGTAGAGCCCTTTTGCTGCTGAAGCGTTGGAATTAGCCGAAGTTAGAACAAATTGCAGAATCGTCTCTCCTTAATTAATGAACAATCACTAAGCAAAAAACATCACAGAAAGGTATTTGTTCCAATCCAGAAGTGTAATTATGAAGTGTGGGTTAGGATGGTGAACTGGCCACTTATTAAATATTCTACATCTGCAGTTAGGAAATAAAGTGAAATGAAACTCGCTGATGCATTGCAATTGCCCTCTTTGACTTCTTTCGAACCTCATATTCTTTGACTTTGGTCCGACTATATGCCAATTGACTTATTAAGAGCAACACCAAATATCAACCATATTCAAATTCACGTGTTTGCAGTTTTGTCGTTTGTACGTTTGCATAACTGATCGGTTCTTGTTTCATTTATATAAGTTAAATCAACGTGCGTCTGTGGCCAATTCTAAGTGACATTCATGATTGGTAACCTAATTGGTGACACATGTTTTGAGAGGCGTAATCATCATTACTCTTAGAGAAAAATATGTCATTTTGCATATTATAGATTCCCATTTCAGTATTTTAAAATTAAAATAAAATGCATGAAGTTATTCTCTGTCAACCAATTCTTTTTCATTGAGGGTTTGCAATTCATTCTAATTAACTCACTGAAAAGAAATTCAAACACCGATTTGATATTTATAAGGTAAATAAAAAGTGACCAGTAACATCAATTGAAGGAACTTTATGACGACAGCAGTGTGATCAAACCTACGGCTGAAGTAATTATTGCTAGGCAACCAGACAGGTATTCGTTACCCGATTACAAAGTTATTCACATGCAAAACCGTATTTTTCAACCTAATTTCTGAGAACCTTCAACTTGTATAAACAGATATTTTGTCATGCCTGGCACTTCTATAAATAATGTAAGTTCAGTAAGTGGTAGCTGAGTACTCATTCAAGGCATTCAAGTTCAAAATACAAGTAAGTGCGATTGGAAATCGATATATTTTAAATAAGTGAATGATTGACGCGAAGTTTATTTGGATCGTCAATTTGTAATTTTCAACTTCGAATGGTCCTCCTTTTAAACATGGCATCTTCACCCAAAATACTCATTTTGATTGAATGATATCGTTTTTTCTTTAAATATTTAAACTTTAAATGCACTTCATTTGTAGAACTTAAATAAGGTTTCTTATGTTCCGATGGCCATTAAAAGTTTCATGTGGCACAACCTGCGATCAACAGAACCTATTGGGGTGCTTGCAACTGGTAAACCAGTTACCATTGTGTTATGAATCATGTTCCAAAGAATAAAGTTTGAATCCGTTCCCCCTATCAACATACTTAAAAAGACCAAAATATTAATTCTAAATCCAAAAGTGGTGTTTGGTGGAATAGCCAAAAAATAGATCGATCTTAACTCAACAGAAATATTAATGCCGTGAACAATATCACCCAAATATAGATAAAAATTTAATTCGAATTGATCAATTTTGCAATATACCACTAGATGTTGTAGCTAAGAAACGTATGATGAAAATTTTGATGGAATTCGCGCTGTAAATCGTTTGAGTGAAAATATGAACGCTTTAACTGGAAACAACAATTTCGTAATTTATACAGATTTTCAGGGTCATTCTCTATTTCTGCAAATTTATACACAACCAATATTCAAATTTTTCACTGTAAATTTTCTTTTATTAAATTCGCCTGGAGTAGAATCTTAACTATTTAAAATCAGGCATTTCGATTTCTCTAGTTCAGTCAAACGATATATTAGTGAATTTATGAAATGAACAATTAAAAAATAAACAAATAGATTTATGTACAATATTTTACAGTACAAAATATAATTAAGGGATTGTCTTTGGTCAATAAGGGAGTTGAGTAAGGCTCAAGAGGAAGGTAATTGGGTTTGTAAAAGAATTGAGTGAAGTCAATTTTCAAGGGAAGAGAAATGATAAATATTAAGAAAAAACAACAACGTAGAACATGCAAATAAATTACCACAATCAAATTTAGGAATTCTTACCTTGGCATTCGTAGATTTCTGGAGGCGTGCCTGTGAGAGAATAAATTAAACAATCACATTTGCAAAAATAATTATAATAATTTTATCCTTTTTTATTACCTGAATTCTCCCAATCCAGAGTCAAAGCAACAGAACTGTCAGCTGTGCCCCATTTGTACGTCACGAAGCCGCCCACTCCCTTGTCCAATTTAATTGTCACACTTGATATGAGAGAGACGCTGTCGGATGTGAGATGAGCTGTAAAATAAAGTTCCGTTGATTATTGGAAAGAAATGAAAGGCAGCTTTCCTAATATTCACTCACGACAAATCCATTCATTCGTTGATAAGCCGTTGTACCAAGAGCAAATTAATGTCGAATTTTCATATAGATATATCTTGAAGAGTCAAAAGGCGAAAAAATGAGATTTCTTTTATTAAATGTTCAACATTGGAAAATTAATTAACATATCAATATGCAACATTTGATGAAAATTTGTTATTACTGGTATTAACCAAGTTTATTGAAGCAACAAATACTTAATCATTTTGAAAAAAATAAATAAAAATAATAACTTATTCGTGGAATAATGAATATATATTCAATTAATTGTGGAAATTATACCGGTTGCGATTTAGGAGGATCGTAGATTTTGAATTCCAAATCAATCGATGTTTCACCCTTCAAGTATCGATGCAGTGGTATCAGAGGATGGATTATTACTTCACCTGAAGTGAAAATGTTAATTGCTTTGATTATTTGCCCTCTGAAAATAAATTGGACTGACACTTAGTTCGCACTGCATTTTAATTACAGAAATAGATGTACGTTAAGTAAAAGGATTGAATAGATACCGGGTTTTGGAGTGAGAAATAGGCAGTCATCAGCGAAGTACACTGTATAATCGTAGTTGACATCTGTTACTTCGATATATTTGTATTGGAAAACGTTGTCAAAAGAAAGCTTAACTTCGCTTGATCCTAATAAAAATGCAAAATTAATACTTTTGTGAAGGAATAGAGTGAAATTATTTAAACTTCAGAATTTTATAAGTTAAAAAGATGAACGTTTTATTGTATGTAACAACTATACCTTTATCGAAAACGCATGGGCTTCCAATTTTTGTGCCATGAGTATGGCAATTATTGTTTGAATCTATTTCAAAGCGATACGACGATCCTGACTGATAGTGAACTTGACCTCTCTAATAAAACACGAAATAAGAAAGTTCAGTGGTAGTGAGACTAAGCAGTAGTGGTCATTTCCAGAAAAGCGGAATTGAAGCAATCTATCATGAGGAATAATGATTACTCACTGGAACATCAAGCATTGTAAACTTCAGGGGACCAACTGGACCCCTACTGGTTGTGACAATTCTTGAACCATAAACTTCTTGGCTTTCAGCATCTAGGATATGAAATTAAGTTTTATAAAATATTTTGATTTCGATCAACTGGATCACAGTAATGTGAAGCAGGACAACTTACATTCAAAAAATAAGTAGATTATTAAAACCAAGCGATTGAGAAACATCCTGACAGTACTGAAACAAATAGAAAAATCATTTGGGCGTATATATATATATATTGCGCGCAAGTTTCTTATTGGTTGGACAAAGGGATTGGCTACCGATGTCACTTTAGTGTAAAATCAAGAGAATTTCTTGTTTAAAATCATTAAAAACGTTTATTATATGAAACGATAGATCTAAGTGTTTTAAACTTCGCTTTTTAGTTTGAGAAGATGAGATATTGGCCGATATGCTCTACGCATGGGGGGATTCCAAGCTAATCGAAAGATAATTCAATGGTAATGAAATGGTAAAAATTCTCATATCAGTCGGTCCAAATTTTGTTCCAATTTTTTCAGAGGGGTAATCAAAGTTGCTAATTAGTAGGGCACATATCTATAGGAGCAAAAAGTTTAGATTAACCTTGCAGGGAGAGAGACTTCAGTCTTCCGTGACCAGTTTCTCCCTGGTACTATGGTTTCGTCACTATTGGTCATTGCATACATGACGGTTTAGCTGGAAATTGGGGTGCATTCTGAGGGCGGTTAATTTTTTATTTCTAAATCTCCACTTTCAAAAACATATCTATAAGTCTTTCAATTATCTCAAAATGAGTTCATGATGGGGTACAAATTTAGCATACTGTGCCTCAGTTACTGTCTTTATCAACACAATTTCAACTTGAATTGTAATTGGAAATGTGCATTTCCAATTTTAGCGAAATCTAACAATAATTTCAAGATGAATTCATGAACTGATACCAATGAAACTTATCGTGATTCAGTTTATGACTTCATCAACACTATTTCAAATTTTATTTTTAAAGTCGCCAAGTTCTGTCATAAGATCGGGTTGTTATTCGTTCAAGATCATTTAGTGAGAGTTATCACCTATGAAATAAATTTACAATTAGCATAGTGCATCCAATATGCTCTTTTTGGCAAATGAAACATGCTGCTGAAGAAATCATTTTCTGGTTCCTCCTTTGCGTACTCTATCCGTTTAAGACATCTATTAGCCTTAATCAAAAGCACATTAAAATTTGATAATTTAAAAATATTTTGCCAAAGTTAATAACTCATTGACAACACGTCGTAGAAGTGGTGTCTGGTCGATTGGAGGCTGATTACAACATAAGAGGTGAAATATAAGAACAGGCCGAGATACTAATTGAATGGTACAACTATCAGACCAAAATTCAATAGTTTAGGTTAGGTAGGTTCAAACAAGTGTCTGCCATCTTTCCTTATCGAAATAAATTCCCATTGTTTTACAATTATGGGTTGGAGAACGATTAGGCTAACAGTAATTTAAAGTTGGTCTTAATGGGTGACATGAATGCAATGAATAATAGTATCGGTTGTGATGAAAGGATTATTGTTCATCCCCGGAAATGCCAATTGTTTAAGGAATTTATGACTTCTGTTAGTTGAAAGCCGTTATACAGCGATTAAAAGAATATACTTAAGGGGGTTATTTCATTGAAGCTGCAGACCACCTTTATGAAATCTGATGTCTTGAATTTGTAAACGTGCTCCTTTCTCTGGTCCATTGAAATGAGAAGTGAAAAATTAATAATTATCAATTCGAATTTCAAAAGAAAAGTAATGTACAAGGAAATATTTTAGTATTTGTAAAATCATATTTAAAAGGATCTGTGTTTCCACGGAGTATAGAATAAACCTTTTATTACTTACTCATTTGAGATTTTAATTTTCATTTACAGCGAATCTTCAAACTCTCAGTTCAAGGTGGTTTCACAGAATGTGACTGTACTAGGTTAGGTGATTCAATTAAAGAAATATTATTGTTGATGGGAAAATATGTACAACATTTTGAAAATTTATTACAGAAAAATATAAACTTACTACTTCCATTAATTTTCTCCCAATGTAACTGGAAGTCAAATTTGCAATGTTTTGCCATGAAAGGATAGATTAATTTTCATTGATTAAAGAATAATAAAGTGGCTTCAATGATTAGGATAAATACTTTCAGGGATCATGATTCTAACACTCACCTGCCCATGTCTAACAAATTGAAAACTGCTAGAAACCCTATTTTGATCTTAGGTTGTTTTGATTTCTAAAGGTTATTCCTTTAGCATCAAGTAGTGAGGAGAGGAGAGTAGACCACAGAGAAGTGGACAGATTTCGAGGACAGCTTCAACATTTGGGTGTGAATGTGCTTACGTAACCGCGTGTGCGATTTGGCAGTTTTCGTCTAAAATACCTCCAGGGTTGGAGGTAAAGTCAGTGCTCTTATTCGTCACACAACGAGGGAGCGTGATAGACTCACCTTCACGTGGTGTTGCCTAGGCAGCATATACTCATACGGCAAGATGTCTATAAACCAACAGTTGACTTCAAACTCCCATGACCCGACTGTATAACATATTTGACCACTTTCACAGAACTCACCTTTCCCTTTTCTCCACCTTTGTGTCTGTTTCACTTACATCTGTGAATCACTCTTCTGTTCCTCCTCTTGACTTTTTGTGACTTTGGTGTCCCTCCCATTTGTGAAGCCCGAAGTTCACTAAAAGTTATCAATGATGCATTAGCTCCTAGGTTCCCGTTTCGCCTGAGAATTAGTTCAAGTGAACACCGATTGAAATAAATTGTCTTTAGCCATTTACAATTTCTAGACGATAAGCATTGCATTTCTTTGTAAGTCAAATAAGTTCACATGTGTTGTCTATTTCAAATTTTTTAAGCTAAAATTTAGGCACTTAAAAATACTATACAAATAGTTCTTGATGAAAAGAATGAAAACTATTCTGTCTTGTTGACGCTAGAATGGTTTGTAACTGAATTCATTGATTGGAGACTATAAGTAAAATGGGAATAACCGAAACGTGAAAGACTGCAAATACCATCTTAAGTAGTGTTTAATTAAGAACAATAGACCAATATTCCAATTGCAATTAATGTCTGACAAAGACAAGTTCAACGTTGTGAAAATACGCCGAAATAAATGTCTGCAAATGTATGAATGAGGATGAATTCCACTTATAAATGAAACCTCTGTATACGTTGTATCTCGTTGTCATCGAAGCTTGTTAATCAGAAGTGAGATTGAAAGACCCTGTTGAATTGAACTGATCAAACCCATCAATGATCTTTCAACAAGTAGATTTTAGCTAGAAGATGGTTGCTTCAATGGTTGTATGAACCCAATTTTCCTTAAGCAGATCAGGAAGAAGAAAAAGTGTAAGCTGGAAAAGCCTCAACTTCTTAAAACATCAGCAAGCTCTACTTTGTGAGCCTTCCATTATTAGGACTTCATGTGTCTCACATCTGGGTGATTCATAAAGCTCTTCTGCTACCCCCCCCCCCTCCCCTTTGAGAGTATTCCAAAACAATCGGGATGTACTCCGGAGAGCACTAGATAAGTATTGAATGTGTTTTTCGCAACATCAACCCTATCGATTGGTAATGGTCTTGCCTATAATGCCACGAAATTGAAGATCGTAAAGCAGCCTAATGGCAAGAGAAACTTGAATTTATAGTAAAATTGCAAAGTCACATCGAAGACATCATTAAGCTCTCCTCTATGAGCCTTGTATTCCTAGGTGATCGCATGTCTCACATTAGGTGACTTATACAGCCCCTGTGTCCGTCACTGAAAGTATGGATTATTCCATTTAATAGAGTCATGCCAATGATAACTCAATTTAACCCACATCTAATTAGATTTTGATAAAGTAATTTCTGCTATTGCACTGTTCTTGGAATTATGAACTCTGACTGTCATCTTCTGTCAATTCCTTTGTTCAATTTAATTACCTCTAGTAATGGTGCTTAAATGAGTCCACTTGAACTAACTTCAACGAGTCTTGAGACTGCTGTACGTAAACAAATGGAGCACATCAGTCTGCGAATACCACAATCGCAGCATTTCAACAAGTCTTATTCCAAATCTGTATCTTCTTTTAATACTAATGTGATTGGCGAATTGTGGCAGACCTTAACTCCATTAAAATGCCCGTTTGCACGCGCAAAATTTTGGCGAATGAGTATTTAATGTCCTTTGTATAACAACAACCCGATCGATTGGTAATGGTCTAGCCGATAACGCTGCGAAATTAAAGATCGTAAAGCGGATTGATAGCAAGAGAAATTTGGATTTAAAGTAAAATCAAAAGGTCACATCGAAGAAGACTCGTGCAAAGGTACTGGAAAGATAAGTTGAAACGGTCTGTGCGTTGCCTTCATCAGCTGATATTTGGCAGTTGGAAGGATGGAAATTATTTGACTATTGCTCAGATGTATCTGGCGAATAGGTAGAATATTTAACTGAATTCAGAGAAACATTGTCTCAAAGAGAGGCAGTAACATCACGAGAATATTTGTCCTCAATTCAATAAAGTTACTCTGAGTTAACAACAAGGGCGTTATCAAAATGAATGATCAAAGTCCGATATGGAGGTTACAATTTCACAGTTAAATCTCACTGACACACGTTGCGGAACAATAGACCATTTATTTAATCAAGACCTTTTCACTCATAGTGATTGATAAAGTGCGATGACATTACTTTCATTATATTAACTTAGTCGGCAAGAGATAACCCAGAAATGGAGAGGCAAATACACAACTTATCATGAGTCCAATAAATGCTGGGAAATTTATTAATTTATTTATTTTAAATTGCAGGCGTTTTGATAGTCATCATTAGCCATTTAGCTGACTTCGGGACTAAAAGGGGAGAGGACTATTATAGTGGGAAAAATTCGAGGGAGTGGGGGGGG